TTTTATTTGAACTAGCACCTCATGACTACACCACGTTATGTACGAGAAGCTGCAAAAGACACAGGCGCAAGTGGAATGTACAAAACATGGTGATATTAATTTTTAAGTAAATATAATGTGCGATATATTGCATCACCAAAAATGATTGAGGTCATGTACATATATTGCGCGATAAGTCGATATATTGATTATTGCGACAGGCCTAATTACAAGCAAATGAAGAGCTCTGTATGCCTAAAGGGGCAGAAAGGCCCATGAAGAGGTGAGTTACTTCCAACCGCAGATGTCCTCACCAAGATTCACTCACGAAACCTTTAATAATTTAGTTTCTTTACTTTCTTTTAATGTAATAGTTACAGGCACTTTCCATTTATACAGAACACTTTGGTGTCCCATGACTTTTTTAAAAGCATTGTAGACACACATCCCGTGTTTTTGTTGTGAGAACTATTAGATACAGTATGTTATCTGACATAAAGAGTAGCTTGTTTTAAAGACGTCACATGTCTGTAGTCCCGTGTTAAAATGGAAATCTTGGCCTGTCCCACCTAAGAGATGTTAATCTACTCAACTGTATTTAACATTCAAACTATATTTTCATAATTTTCACAGTCTGTTGAAGTAATATTCTTTTAACTGTAGTAAAAACTATTTTTAAGTTTCTCATTTTTAAGTCGCCATGCATCATTTGGTCTTGTAATTTACTATTTTATTTGTTTTTAATTTTAAAAAATTGACTTTTTATTTTTGATGTTCATTTATGCTTATATCTATAAAAACCTTTAAACTATTTGTATTGCAAACGAAAAAAAAATAAAACATAAACATAACAAAACATTAAAATATATCATTTAACTTCCTTTAGTGTTAACTATTAACAGTAAACACCTTCTTTCACTGATCATTTGTTGAAATGAAATAAAAAAGATAAAGATGCAATTTTGTGTCCTATTCATGGAAAGTGTCTGCACCTTTAAATTGCTTGGAGTTCAAATATCCTCTGACTTGTCATGGGATGCCCACATTAAGTACATTATTTCGAAGGTGCGCCCCAGAATATACTATCTTTGCACTGCAAAAAAAGCGGGTCTTCCTTGTGATGTTTTGGTACAAGTATATTTGACTTTTATACGGCCAGTTCTCGAATATGCTAGTCCAGATCAGTTATCTTTTATTCGTTTTATACTAAGTAATGATTGTCTTGGAGTATGTGTATGTTTGACACATTTCAGGGTTTTGTGCCGCAATATCCTGTCATGTCAAACTTTAAATAAAACTAAACTAAACTAAACACATATTATAAAGGATTCAGTATTTAACTATTCAAATTACAATGACATAATGTTCCATTTTTGGTTGAATCATTTTGAGATGTTGTGTTGAGTCATCAGCTTTGACATTAAATAATATAATTCATCAGCAGTTCAAAACGGTCCATCCACAGCAGATCTTGTTTACAAAACAGCACAGAGACCAACATAGCCTGGAACAGTCTGTCCAGTTGTAATGTCACGTTGAAAAGAAAAGCAGACAAAGCATTGAGATATTCTAGCTGTCTGTCTGTCGCAGAAGCTGATTCTGCCCTGCCATTGAGAATTCAGTGAGAGAGGTTTTAAACGGGTTTTCTTTGTGTCTTGCACAGGTACTTCCACACCATCTATCTGGGCATCAGGAGCAGGCAGAGCGGAGAGAATGACCGCTGGAGGTTCTACTGGAGGATGGTGTACGAGTTTGCTGACGTCAGCATGCTCCACCTACTGGCCACATTTCTGGAGAGCGCACCTCAGCTGGTGCTCCAGCTCTGTATCATCATACAGACTCACAAACTCCAGGCTGTGCAAGGTAACACAACACAAGCACACTCGAACATCTTATGGACTTCCATTGTTTTTAGATCACCTAAAGGGGCGGTTTACCATTTACCATTGCTCTCTGAAATCCAGTCATGTCAATAGGAATCTCCATGTTCAGGAGTTCCCCACACAGATTTGCTGCTTGTGAGCTGTGCTTCATATATCTTATACACTTGTTTTTGCCCACAAAATTTCACTGAATTATCGCTAATGTAACCACACTTCAACTGAACCCCTACCCATAAACATAACCCTCACAGAAACCCCTGTAAAACACTAGATTTCAATATAAACATAACTTGACAAATTTATACGCCGTGAATAGTTGATTCCAATCCTATCTCACGGCAATTCGTACATATTTGACAAGGTGGCAAATTCGTACAAATTCGTATGACCTTACTCGTACGAATTCATATGATTTGTGAAAAATTTTACATATTTTATGAGGTGGCAGGAATTCGTACGAAGGACTACACCTAACCTCACCCCTAAACTTAGAAATTAGCCAGCTCGTAAAATATATATGAATTGGCCGTGAGACTTTGTTGATTCTAGTCAAACCTTTACACTGCACACTAATTGTGAATAATGAAGTGAATGTGACAATTTTACCTATGTGTTAAAGTGTTACCACCGCAGCTGTTGGGGTGTGTGCTGAAAACCAGCCTAAGGTGGTTTGCTGGTCTTAGCTAGCTAGCTTAGAACTGGTTTAGCTCATCTCTTACCCTGTTTGTGTTTGTTTAGCTGGTCTCCCAATCTGGCAAAACTGATTTTAAGCTGGTTTAGCTGGATGACCAGTTGATAAGTGTCCAAATGCCCTTTAAAACCAGTGAAACAGACCAGCCTAACAAGTTTAGTGGGGCTAGGAGAAAAGCTACCCACCTGTTTTAAAAGCTACCCACCTGTCTTTTTCAACAGAGATCCCAACATTTTTTTAGTCTTCTTTTTGGATACTATCACAATGGTGCAGCTGCCATACTTCTTTGTAAGGGTGAGGGTAGGACATACTGAGGAGAGAGAACTCCCAGGTTTACTGTCATCCTTCACTTTATATATCTCATCCTGTCCATATAAGAGTGATGGAGAGGGACAGAGTGTGAGAAAAACTCATTTGCCACTGAACATAAAAGACTGCTGTGAGGGAGTGAGGCAGAGTGTTTTTTCAAGAGTGTTGCCCAAAGTAAGCAATTATTAAAGAAAAGCGAGTCTTTAAACCGACTGTGCAAATTATACAGCTAGGATAGTTAGAGGATAGAACTAGCACTGTTTAGCAATCAACTCATAAAACTCAAGTTTTGTACACCTTTTGTTTATACTCTTATCACTTGATGTTTTAAATCCTGTAGTGACCGTCTGATGCAAGCAGGTCTATAATACCTGGAAAAAGCTATCTGTTAGCATTCCCATTGATTTTAATGAGAGTTACTTTGCTGACATATGACCCTTTGGAAGAATGTGATTTGGAATCTGCCATCTTTTTTCTAGTCTCGTGTAGCCAGACCTTCAGACTGACGGCTGAAGGTCTGGAATCCATGGCAGCTTTCATTGGCCAAGGCCCGCACAGTTCGTTTCGTTTCAGCGTCACGTTGAAGGGCGTGGAAATGTCGCAACAATAACGGAACGGTGTGTAAAACTCTCGGACGTATTTTAAAGATTCTGTGCCGCGAACTTTAAATATTTCACATACTTTTGAAAATCCAGCATTTAGTTGATCCTGATAAGCGCTCATCGTCACAGTAAATACGACGGCTTTCTTCTTTCGTGAGGGAGTTTAGCGCCACGGCATCTTTGTTTTCAGGCGAAACGTTAAAGAACGCGACACACACGTCTCCCGGAAATCCTGTATAATTCAACCAATCCGATGAAACTCCTGAAGTGTTTCCACTTTTTTCCAATTTTATGTGCCGTATGCATCAGACGTTCAGCCAACGGTCCGTGGGCGTGACGTCTGAGGCTGGG